GACTTTCTCTTTTCGATGAAATTATTGCCAATTTTTAGGATTTTTTCATAAAACTGTCGCCGGGGCAGAGATGCAAATTAATGCTTTAAAATGATCAATATTTTATCTTTCTGTGGATTTAGTTTCGGCAGAATTTATGCTTATGCACAAAAAAGATCCACATGTATTTGCACCTACATGTACCACAATCGACTGCTTTGTGAAAATTTGTCTTTAATTTACAAGTTTACAAATATCTCGAAGCTCCATACTATAATTTAAGTAAAAACAGGTATAGGAGATGCATAAAATCCTTAATTATGCACCTTCATTAAACTTATAAAGCCCATTGAAACAGATGTAAACAATTCAAATATACCAACCATTTGGCCTTTTTTACCTTCTCTAATAAAGAGTTCAATTTCTTTTGTTTCATTTCAACTGGGTATTCGCCTGATATAGGGTAGGGACAAAGTATAAAAATCAAGGTTTACTTCTTGTCCCCCTTTTCTTCTATTTAGAAACTATAAAGTTGATGACCATGATCTGTAGTTTCTGGTCGTCCATATTGTACTTTTTTTTGTTGTATTATGTGCTCATGTCTGTGAAACTGAGACCTTAAAATACCATAAACGAAACGAGGGAAATTGCCAAAATTCTACAATTTGTTTATGTTTGAAGAAGAAACTCTACATCAGCATCAACGTAGACCCTTCTTAAATTTTAATTTATCTACTTTACTCTTATATATCTTTCATTATATAAAATATCAGGATAATCTACGTTGGTGCTTATAATCTAAATTGGGGAAAAAATATACGATGTCTGACAAGTTTTACAAGTAGTTCTCTTAAATATCTGTTGCTAACCAGCATTTCTGTTGTTAGGTTCAATATGAACTTCGTAGAAAGAATAATGAAAACTATAATATGCATATTATAGTGTAGGACCCTAGATTAAAAGAAAATTCTCCAAAGATTGCTAAATAAATTCAAGATAACAAAAAGAACCAATTTTTGAACCGTTAATATTGAATATTTCTGTTGTTAGGGTGTTCAAAAGCATTTAGTGAACTAAACTTTGACTTACTTTTCATTTCTTACAGCTTAATACTCTGATATAGACAATCTGATTTGTTCAATAATTTGAATAATTCACTTGTATTTATCTTCCACTCAAACGTATGTTGTTGTAAGCAACATTTGTGTAGGTAGGTTCAGTATGAGCATCATAATAAAGTCACAATGACGACTATGGTCTGATATTTATATATTATATTATATGTTGGCAAATCACCTAATTCATAATTCATATAAAGCAAAAAGAACAAATTTTAAACCGTTGCTAGGCAATATTAAAGTTGCTAGGTTGTTGGTTCATGTTAGCATTCAAATAACTTAATTTGACCTGGCTTTTTATCTTTTACTTCAATGCATTTTTAAAACGACAATCTTATTTGCAAATGCGCTTATTTTCACAGATAAAACAGGTCATACATGATGATTTTTATTTTAAATAACACTCGTTGCTATTATTTTCCCAAGTTTCTATGCAAAGGCTATCAAAAACGCCCCTTATCATACCATATCCTTAGTCTTCGGCATTTTGTCAGTCTCAAATCATATCCTTTGGTATCTGCAATCTATAAATCTTTATTTAAGTTTTATTAATTTACCCACAAAACTACCAGCAAACGTCTGAATGTTGCGTTTCATACATAACATACTTTACAAATAATAACTTTTAAAACCGTATTTGAGCTTTTCAGGAAAATGTGCAATTCGCAAAAATTTGCATAAATGTTCAACGTAATACAAAATTTCTGATGTCATTATGATCTTGCGCTACTACAAAAACCAAAGCTATTTCGGAAAAACTAATAGTTTTCAGCATGGTAAGATTTCAGAAAAACATTCAGAAAAATCACTGTGGCCATAAGAATTTGTCACTTGCAATTTTTCTCTTTTTATTCAGTATAAATCTACCCTACATTCATTAAAAAAAAACTGATGTGGGGTCATTTTCTGGTTGGATTTTAACCAACTTGGTACCAATAAAAGTGGCCTTGTTACAGGTTTATTTTCTTATTTGATTTGTATTTTATTTTCTGATGATATGAACACAAGTATTTAATTTGTTAAAAAAATGCTATATATTTCAACAAAATTAAATTGTATTAAAATATTATACGTGTTCACACCAGGAGAAAGCAAAAACAGCTGAAGAAAAAACTGTAAACAAATATGCAGAATATTTACAAAATTCTACATCTTTCAACACCCGGTTTGTGAAAATTCAATCACAAATGCCTTCAACATACTTATTTTGAAAAAAATGTGTTTTTATGTGAAAAATATAGCAAAAAGATATAGGTGACGATTATAATGCACAGCTTTCGATAGTATGAGGCATTATGTTTTCTAGTCTGTGTGTCTCGTGTCAGGTTTAACATGTTAAGACTCCTTATGTGATTTCTTGAGAAACGTGACTCAATGGTATCTTTTTTTTTTAATTTTGTTTCAGCCGTACATCGACTATTTTAAGTAACTATTGATCTGAAATAGCTATATAAATGCACAAAAATGTTTCTTTTTGCATACAGCTTGTATATTTGCAAACTCACACAGTGGGAGTCGATACCGGGAACAATAGCAAATTCACTCTTATGAAAAAGTCGCGAAAATCAATTTTTTAAACAATGCCGGTGACGATACTGATCAAAAGTGATTTCTAAACAACAATCATAGATTTTAACGAATTTATTTGTTATCTTGTGAAATTAAAATCTGAAAAATGTTTATCTTTGCTGCATATTGATAAAAAAATTGAAAAAATCATGTACATACAAAATTTAAAGATCTTTCGGGTCACCAATTTTAGGAATGTTCCACAAAGTCCTGAGCATGTTACAATTTCCAAACATATAACTATTTTTTACATCTAAGTTGTCGAGTACACCAATCGGCACTTGTCATGTGAACATTGAATATACAAATATTGTCTTTTCGTGAATATAACAATTAAAAAGTATGTCTGTGCAGGTTCAAAAATTAAAGATCAATATTTAAATAAAGAAGGTTATCGTTTAAAGATTTTAATTATTTTTTATACAATTTTAAGAAAAGGTCGTCTCGATTTCTGTTCATGTAATTGCGGTCTTCTCGATCTAATCACATTCAATGTTTACATCGGTATGATGTCCGTTTGAATTAGCATAGTAACTTCATTTCAATAATGTTCAAAAATGTTGATCGTTGCTGCATATCAATCGATTTCTTTCGAATTTTGTCCATGAACTTCTCTGATCTAGGTGCATACATATTCGGATAATTGGCATGTTCCAGAGTGGTATACAGTCAGTAGAAAAATAAATTGAAGTTGGCACTCCAGGAATTTATTCGCATAGCAACATTTTAAACCAATTTTACTTCAAACTCATTCAGCCTGCTGTACTTGTCGTTTGCTATTTAAGTAGGAAAATGATCGCATTAAATGGAAATTTTGTTTTTATTTCAATTTATTTTTATTTTTTTTCTATTTACCAGAACGGTTTCTCGTGAATTTATAATTGATAGCGTTCTTGCTAAAGCGGAAAAAACATTTAAAAGATAAAGTTTTCAGTGTTGAGCGTTTACAGGGGAGGTAATACTTTGTCACCAGATTTCCCACTGCACATAACTTACTACCCTTTAAACAGTTGAAAATAATTTGCCTCAAATGCGACCATATCTATAGATCCTCAGCAGAACCAAAAAGTGAAATATTAGGAAAAGGTGCAGGGTCAAAAAAGACTCATTGAAATCGGTTTTATAATTGCAAATGTAGTTTCACCGTATTTCTGTACAAAAGTGCTAAAGGAAGCCTTTATCAATTACATTGTTAACAGTTTTAATTCTTCCTGTGGATAACCACTATAAGTAAAAGCTACTTTTAATTGCTGATTTGTCAATCTGATAATTTGTTATAATTGTGTTTTTTTAATTGCTGATTTGTCGATCGGATAATTTGTTATAATTGTGTTTCTTTGAACAGCTTCAGAAAAATATCCATATTGTAGTGAAACGAGTATGACTGTGTTATTTAACTTAATGTGTAAATTTACCATGGAAAATATTTCTGGGCACGGAAAACCAAAGCTATTTCAATAGCGTATAAACATAATAAAACCATGTCAATAGCATATATAGATAATAAAACAATGTTAATACAATAACTAAACGATGACAATATTGGAAACTATACTTGTGTTTTTTTTCTAATTAAACAATTTCAGGCTTGACCTGATATAGTGATTCAAACGTCTTATATGCTTTTATTTGAGTATTTGAAAAGAACGGAGACAGTTTTTCAGGATATCACTTAAATATGATAATTACGATCCACTGCTAGCCTAAATCCTGATAAATTCACTGCACTGAACAATCTTCTGTCAGTGTTGTAACTCTTGCTTTGTCGTAGTTAGGGAAAAAAACTATGAGAATACCAAAAAACAAATCATTCTAATGTCTCGGAATGTGAATATTTATTATAGTTGATAAAGAATACCATATTTTAAACCAAAGCATGATCTATCAAAAAAATCTTTTTTCAGGTAGATCAGCGCCACTAGAAAACCTTCAAATCAAAGTTTTCTTTTCCGATTTTGAAGATTAACTTTCTATTTTCAAAAGAGGAAAAGCCATATTAAAATAGTATTCTTCATTCCGATTAAACATTTTTTAATACAATTACAGTTTTCTTGATTTATCTGCCCTCGTAATTGTATTTTCAAAGAAAGTGTCATGATATGGTGTATTTTTTTTTATTTAGATTTTTCAAAAGAAAAGATTGTTTTTTGAAAATCTCTTCAGACCGTTGATTGACCTGTAGTTTTTTTGTCGTTAGTTTGCTGTCGTGATGTCGTTTACCCTACATATTCTTCTTCTTCATAATTTGAAACTCCGAATAAACTATTATAATACTATTGTAAGAGGTCAAAAAATTAAAGATATATATTTTTAAGAAAATGCAAAAATGCAAACCTGGTAAGATTCAGAACTACTTAACACATTTCTTTCCGTAGTATCCAACTTAGTTATTAACTCAATCCTTTCGGAAACTCTTCTTGAAATTGCATTTTTGTCATAAACCCAACCTCTGAAATTTAAAATCGAAATGATTAAGATTTAGTATAACATTGTTTTTTAAACAATTGTGTGAGTGTGTGTGTGTGATTTTTTTAAATAATAAGTTCAACAATAAGCATCCTCCCTTTATTAAACTAACAAAGTTTGTTCCTATATCATAGAAACAATTGCATTTAAATATGAAAGGCAAACATTGATTTATTTTTTTTTTTTGTGAAAAAGAGACAATAAAATGAATAAAAAGAAAAATAATCTGGTAAGTTCTAATTTTTAAACTTTGATTTTGAAGGTTTTCTAATGGCGCTGATCTACCTGAATTTTTTTTTTTTTTTTGGAAGATTATGCTTTGGTTCAACATATGGTATTCTTTAATTATTTATCCCTTGAAATTTTTTATTAACTGTGTATTTGCATTCAGGTGTCACAGGTCAAATTCATTCGTTCATTGTGTGTAAATTTACGTTTTTTGATTGAGTTAAGCCTTCCAATTGATATTTTATAGTGTGTTTTTCTATGTTGTGATGTTGTACTATTGTTTCAGAAAAGGGAGAAGGTTTGGTACCATTAAAACGTTTAATCCCGCTGCAAATGTTTGCACCTGTCCCAAGTCAGGAATCTGATTACAGTAGTTGTCGTCTGTTTATGTAGTTCATACGTGTTTCTCGTTTCTCGTTTTTATATAGATTAGACCGTTGGTTTTTCCGTTTGAATGGTTTTACACTAGTTATTTTTTGGGGCCCTTTATAGCTTGCTGTTCGGTGTGAGCCAATGCTCCGTGTTGAAGGCCGTACCTTGACCTATAATGGTTTACTTTTATAAATTGTAACTTTGATGGAGAGTTGTCTCATTGGCACTCATACCACATCTTCCTATATCTATTTATCAACTATCCTAAATATTCATATTCCGAGACATAAGAACGATTTTTTTTTTGGTATTCTCATAGTTTTTTTCCTAAGATCTAGCCATTACAGTCAATCTCTAAAACTTAAATCTGATTATTTAGCAAAAAGTGTATTCTTCGTTTTAAGGTAGCACAATACAAAGATTTTATACCTCCTATTCCCCAGTTTTAAAATGCTCTAACTTTCTTTATAATGCTTGAAAATTTGTAAAATTGGTATTTATGGATAGCTAACAGATTACTCTTTCAAATCAATGCAATGTTAGTATTATACAACAATTATGTAATTAATTATAATGTTAACTGTGTCTACAAAATTTTACAAGAAATTTCCACTTTCAATTGAAATTAGCTTCTTCGTGGTTATCCCGAGAGGGTTGATTTTATTATATGTTGTTCCTAGAGCCATTATCTACAAAAGGGTGTCTCAGATTTTGGATAGAATTTATAGATCAAATTTTACACCTAATCAAATATTATCTACTTTTATGTGGTAAGGATGTTTACACTAATTAGAGATTTATGAGAGAATGGAATATGATAGCGATAATTTGAGACATTCTTTTGTAGCTCCTGCTGTGTTGATTAAGATTTCGTTTAAATTTCCTGTATAGTTATAGAGATGAAAGAGCTAAATTCATTCAAGTGAACTGACCAAGATTTTGCCATTAATTGCATAATAATTGATTACATAATGATTGCATAACAAAAATATTGCCTTCATTTAAAAGATTAATCTTTTATCTATCTATATATACCTCTTTTATTAATTTATATGCAGTCTTAAGAAAGTAACAGCATTTTAAAGGTTGGAGATTGGAAGTAAACAAATCTTTGTATTGTGCTACCTTAAGTCAAAGAAAATTATACAGAAATATTTCAATATCTGACTCAATTAGAATTTTTTAAATATTTACCCAACAGGATACAATAATTCAAAATTATACTTTCGTTATTATAACTGCAAATAGTACACAGTCTTACGATACGTCTTGCCTGGCATTGAATATCCAAACACTATTTTATTTCGTTCATTTCATAAAATCTACATGTATGTTCATTCCACCTGACACCATTGTGTAAAAGAAGTCTCAGATTCGACAGTTCCAACTAATTCAGATGTTTTTATTTGCTATCATCGATACAAACTTATTTTTGAAATAGTTATGTGGTGTGCTATGGATTATCTTAATATACCATATTACCAAAAAGGGAAAGACAATACCAATAGAGCAATCATTATCCATAAGTTGAAAAAAAGCAGACAACACCATGATCGCCAAAAGAAAAATGAAGAAAAAACAAACAAAAGTCCCCAAAACACTATAAATAAAACTTAAGATTGAGAAACAGGAACCCAACCCATGGTAAGTAGTTTCTGCTCCATTAGTGGCACCAGTTGTGCAAGTAAAATGCAGATACACGTTGCATTCAGCTTTAACTTCGACTTTCAGATTTACAGATAAAAGTGATTTTTTTTTTGCCTCAATGTCCTTGTTTATATATTAATTGTAATTATTGAAATTTCCTCACATTTATTTAACGGAAAGAAAAGTATTATTTTCGGCTAGTAAAAAAAAAAATTAAAAACTATTTTAAAAAATGCACTATCAACAGCATACATATGTTGTTTTAGCATACATTGTACCTCTCTATAAAATAGGTGTAGATGAAGTACATTATTTGTCACATCTTCTTAAAATTCTTTCCAAACTGAATTCGGCGAAAAAGGTAATAAATTTACTTTTCATCCACTCTAATCTTTGACCCTATCAGCTGATTTTCAAAATTTATCCCTTAAATCGTTCTTCTTTAAATGCAGAGTGCATTATAACGAACTTTATTTTTGGAAGACCATTAGGCCATAAAATTGTCTAATAATATTTTGAATTTTCGGATTGAATCGTTATACTATGATGTAAGAGATGTCTAGTCTTCCAATTTTTTTTAAAAACATTTTCTATTTTTCAAAACAGGAGCCTGTTTATTGAATATGTCTAAGTACTAGAACATTTGTACATGTATTTTTATCACTAGGAGTCTATTATATTTTAGTGCAGACAAATTAATCAACCACAAGATGAAATTTAAAGTTTTCATTGAATGGACTCCATAGAGAACAATAGCTATTGTACTTATTCAATGGAACAGATCATTAATACCAACTGATTCTAGTGGAAAGGTTTTATTTCCTTCGCAATAAATCGTTCAGTACACTACATGTATAGACTGACATTACACGTGTGAACATATATTTGTTCCGCATAATACTTGTTCTCCCTGGAACAAAACTATGTATAATAAAAGTTCTTGGGAACAAACATTGCATACAATTATTTCCACCTTCATAAGATATTTTCCTGGAACTAAAACGTCATATGGTTTCATAATATTTGTTCCTTTAAAGAAAGAGTGTCATTTGATTTTTTACACCTGATAACATCTTAATTAATGTTCACCTCGCATGACATTTACCTGTACATGTAGTACATACAAAGAACACGAAGAATGGAGTATGAGAAATACAACAAAATTTTTACATATTTCAACGATGGCTCTTATTCTAAACAAGGTAAGAATATATATTTTTAATATTTTATTACTGCATGCTCCACTATGACTTACTTAACTAAATGGTCCATTAGTCTGTACCAATGAAGAAAGTTTAGCTTATACTTTAGTCAAGCATGAAGTTAGCCACAAATTTCAGATGAAAATGTCTGTACTTTATTAATGGAAATTTACTTCCATAATTATGGATATTGTAGTACAAATGTATATATTTCTAGAACTTTGATCATATAATAAATATTTCTAGAACTTTAATTATCTAATAACCATTATAACTATTCCTGGAACATTTATAATATAACCAATATTCCAATATGCCTGGAACTTTTATAATATAGCTTAACAAATATTCCTAGAACTTTTATAATATAACAAATATTCCTTGAACTTTTTAAAATATAACAACATTTCCTCAGAACTTTTATAATATAACAAATATTCCTGGAACTTTTATTGTATAAAACATTGTCCATAATATTTATCCCAAAGAACTTTTAGCATATAACAAAAGTTCCATTGGAAACTTTCCTTATGTAATATTTTATCCTTTGTGAAGGAAATTTTCTAATAGCATTGGATAAAATATTATATAAGGAAAGTTCCCAATGGAACTTTTGTTATATGCTAAAAGTTCTTTGGAACAAATATTATGGAGGAACTTATATTCTGTCACATATTTAAGTGTGGTTCAGTTACAATGTAATGGGTATTGGATTTAATGCATCATAATAAGGTAGGTTATACTCTTTTTATTAGGCTTTTGATAACCACAACTAGACTTTTCTTATCGAGTAGGCCGGAATATAACAAGTATTTATACAGAGTCGCACCACTTGATTTTACTACAAATAATTGTAGTAATTATAACGAATGAGAATTGGATACTGCTTGATATCAACTCGAGTTATTGTCCCCCACGTAATGAGGTAAATGTACATCGTTTTGACCCCTGAAAGTCACCAATAACCTAACGCGGCTTTTTATTTAACATATCATGATGCTGGATAAGTCCAGCAAATTAACTTATTTTTCGCATAAATTGTTTTTATTACACTCCGTGCGGGGATACTTTAATATCTCTTCAGATAGCAGGCCACAACTTTAAGAGACACAAGAGAAAAAATGATATTAGTCTCATATAGCGAAATCTCTGCATACGTGACAATATATCCCCCCTTGGTTTTCCAAGCAACAACAGTAAAATAAGTTTATAAATCATTTAAGAAACTAAGGTTCTTAATCCCTCAGACAAAGTTGACCTTAGATCTTTGTTTTGATTTTTTTTTGTTAGATTATGATTTATATACATACAACAATATTATGATTTAAAATGTGTTAATACGTGGATCGTATCAAGTGAAATTCTCCGAAGGGTGACTGGGAAATAGTAATATGGACACTTTGGTCTTCTCCTTTTCGAAAATGGGGCATCCGTTCGGTTGTGAGGGATGTACAAGTACGAAGCCATGTCCGGTCAGAACGGGGACATTTAAATCTGATGCCTCATGTAATGAGAGTGCCACGCTATGTGCAAG